GGGAGTCTCATATTTTAAAGTATTCTTTATCCTATAAGCTACAATTAGATCATTCCAATTACTGTATTTTTTGCTGAAAAAAAAATACGTTTGGAGATTAAAGATCCATGAATATTACAATAACACCTCTAGAAAAGGGTAAGATATAATTTGCTATGGTTTTAATGGGTTCTCTTCCAAAATTCAAGTGTTGCTAATGTGATACTATTAAGAAATGGAGACTTCAAGAGGTAATTAAGCCATGAGGTCTCCTCTCTCATTAATGGACTAAGGCTCTCATAAAAGTGGCTTCACACAGTGATCAGCTAGGTTGCCCTTGGAACTTCCTTGCAAGCAGAGATCAGCTTCACCAGACAACCAAACCCACTGGTGGCTTAATAATATTGGACTTCCCAGCATCATGAATTCTAAGAAAATTTCTATTCTTCATAAACTGGATATTCTATGGTATTCTGTTACAGCAACAAAGGCAAAAAACATTACTGACAACTCTTTAACCTACTTATCCTACCCATTATCACTTTGTGTATATGCATGATCACTAGGAATGTTCTCATAACAAAGACGACTATAGAGTGTAATTTGCAGGGAACACTTCTCTCAACCTTAATATAATATCCTTTCTCCCTTGTAACTTTTATTGGAAGATATTTTTGCTAATGTTAACTTATTCTCTTTTGGAATGATCTTAATACATAAGCGTTTTATTAAAACAAAAGGTATCATGTATCAAGATTCCTCATGTGCTATACTTGTAGCCACACCATGTCCGTAGTTTGTAAAGTATATACTTATGCCATTCTTCCCATATTTAATACCACTTGTTTTAATCAATATTTCTCATAAATATTAATACAAAAAATTCTGAGATTAATTAACATTATTTAAATAATTTATTTTATAGTAATGATTGCCTACTATCTGCAATGTTCAAAACAATTTGTCTAATTTATTTGTAATGCTAGCACTGTATTACTTGAAACATTATAAATAAGACACTCTTCTGTTTTAAATATTTAGAAACTGTGGATGATAGAAATTTAAATAACAAAACTCACTAGAAAAAAAGTAGAAAACTGAGACTGAAATCAATCTTTGATAACCAATCCCAGACAATCTCCACTGGAATAGACTACCTTTGCTCATGGAAAGTGTTTGTTTTGTCATTGCTATAACAAAATACCTGAAACTGGGTGTTTTATTCAGAAAGGAAGCTTAATTAGCTCAAAGTTCTGGAGGTCTAAGAGCATGGTGCCACCTTCTACTCAGTTCTGGTGATGGCCACATGGCAAATGTCATCACAATTATATACCAGAGTATTCACAGGACAAAAAAATGTGAAAGAGAGAGAGAGAGAGATAGTGGAGGAACTAGTTTTCCACCTTTTAAAAAAGATTTATTTATTTATATATTTATTTGGCAGATTGACAGAGAGAGAGAAAGAGACAGAGATCTTCCATTCATTGTTTAACTACCAAATGGTCTCTCCCATGAGGATGGCAGGGGCCCGTGTCACTGGTTCATATTTTACTGAACTCCCAGGTACATTAGCAGTAATCTTGATAGGAAGCAGAGCAACTAGAATTCAAATTATCACTAATAAGGGATGCCAGCACTGCAAGTGTCAGCTTAACTTGCTGCACCACAATGCTAGCCCCAGTCTTCATCTTTTTATAGCAAGTCACATTCATAGTAAGCAAACAGTGTCCCATGATGGCTATATTAATCCTTTCTTAGGTAAGAACTGCCTCAAACCCAAACAGCTTTAATTTGCTCTCAAAACTTAAAAGATCCAAAACCATTAACATCATCATACTTTGGACCAAGTTTCCAACACATACCCTTTGGGGTACAAACAACATTGAAATGCTATCAGTAAAGCTTACATTTTAATCCAGTTAATCAACGTTCATTGAACACCAAACACTGAGAATAGTCCTATACTAAGCACTGTGTTGTGGACTCCATGAATCATTACGTCCTTGGCAGCTCAGTCTGAAATTTGCTAAGCAGTCAATAAAAAGGGGATTACATTGAACTCTAATTTATTTATGCTATGTAGGTTAGCAGTAACAAATATTTTAAATATCAATCATTTTATCACATACTATTTTTCCCCAAAAGTCAGATTTAAGAAATTAAGTGAATTGGGGAGAGGAAGAAAACTGGGTTACAAAGCATGTTTGTAGTGTCCATTAATAGTGAAAGTGCTAGGATTGAGCCGGCGCCGTGGCTCAATAGGCTAATCCTCCACCTTGCGGCGCCGGCACACCGGGTTCTAGTCCCGGTTGGGGCGCCGGATTCTGTCCCGGTTGCCCCTCTTCCAGGCCAGCTCTCTGCTATGGCCAGGGAGTGCAGTGGAGGATGGCCCAGGTGCTTGGGCCCTGCACCCCATGGGAGACCAGGAAAAGCACCTGGCTCCTGGCTCCTGCCAGGATCAGCGCGGTGCGCCGGCTGCAGCGGCGGCCATTGGAGGGTGAACCAGCGGCAAAGGAAGACCTTTCTCTCTCTGTCTCTCTCACTGTCCACTCTGCCTGTCAAAAAAAAAAAAAAAAATAGTGAAAGTGCTAGGAACTCAAATAGGCAGGGATGGGGAAACCTTATCCACCCAGGGCTTGATGAAGCAGAAGAGAGAAAGAACAACAAGAACATAATTGGCATAGCAGTTAAAGCCACAACCTAACATGCCGGCATCCCACAATGGCACCAGTTCCCATCCTAGCTGCCCTACTTCCAAACCAACTCCCTTGTAAAGGATCAGGAGAAAGTCTAAGTGTTTGAGCCTTTGCCACCTATGTGAGAGACCTAGAAGAAGTTCCTGGATCCTGGCTTGGCCCAGCCATGGCCAATGTGGCCATCTTGGGAGTAAACCAGTGGATAGAAAAACTCTTGATCTCACTCTCATTCTCGCTCTCCTTCTCCCTCTCCCTGTCCCTCTCTCCTTGTATGTGTGTGTTTGTATCTCCTTTTCTCTGTAGCTGTAATTTTAAAAATCAATGCATCTCAAGGACTTTGAAAAATAAAAACAAACAAACAAACACCAAATTAGAAGGAGAAAAGAAATAATTAGAATTAGAGGAGAAATAAACAAAATTGAAGCAAAAAAATAGAAAAAGATCAGTGAAATGATAAGCTGTTTTTTGAAAAAAATAAACAAAATTGATACACTGTTGGCCCAACTAACCAGAAAAAAAAAAAAAAGAAGAAGAAGAAGAAGAAGAGGGAGAAGACTCAAATCAATAAAAATGAGTAATTAAAAAGGAAATGTAACAACAGATAACACAGAAACAAAAAGAATTATCAGGAATTATCACAAAAGGCTGTATGCCAACAAATTGTGAAACCTAGAAGAAATGGATAGATTCCTAGACACATATTATAAAGATTGAGTCATGAAGATATAGAAAACCTAAACAGACCAATAATCAGGACAGATATTGAATCAGTAATAAAGACCTTCCCAAAAAAGAAAAGCCCAGGACAGGATGGCTTCACTGCTGAATTATACCAGACATTTAAAGAACTAATTCCAAGTCTATTCAAAGCAATTGAAAGGAAGGAAAACCTCCCAAACTCCTTCCATGAAGTCAGCATCACCTTAATTCCTAAACCAGAAAAAGATAACAGAGAATGAGGACTATAGACTGGTTTCTCTGATGAATATAGAAGTAACATCATCAACAAAATATCAGCCAATCAAATGCAACAACACATCAGAATGATCATTCAACTCAACCAAGTAGCATTTATCCATGGAATGCAGGGATGGTTCAACATTTGCAAATCAATAAAAGTCATATATCACATTAATAAACTGAAGAACAAAAACTATATGAGTATCTCAATAGATGCAGAGAAAGCATTTGATAAAATACAATATCCTTTCATGATGAAAACCTTAAGCAAATTGGGTATAGAAAAAACATTCCTCAATATAATCATGGCAATTTATGACAAACCAACAGTCAACATCTTACTAAATGCGGAAAATTTGGGAGCTTTCTTACTAAGATCTGGAACCATAGTTGGATGGCCGCTCTCACAATTACTATTCAATATAATACCGGAAGCTTTAGCCAGAACCATTAAGCAAGAAAAAGACATCAAATAGATACAAATTGGGAAGGAAGAAGTCAAACTATCCCTATTTACAGATGACATGATTCTATATATAAGAGACACAAAAGACTCCACTAAGAAACTGTTGGATATCTTAAAGAGTTTGGTAAAGTGGCAGTATATAAAATTAACAAAAAAGGATCAATAGCTTTTGTATACACAGACAAAGCCATGACTGAGAAACAACTTCTAAGATCAATCCCACTCACAATAACTATCAAAAATAATTTAACTAAGGATGGAATAAATCTAACAAAGGAGGTAAAATATCTCTATGACGAAAATTACAAAACATTAAAGAAAGAAATAGAAGAAGACCGAAAAAAATGGAAAAAATTTCCATATTCATGGATTGGAAGAATCAATATCATCAAATTCTCCATGCTACCAAAAGCCATTTAGAGATTTGACATGATACCAACAAAAATACCGAGGCCATTCTTCTCAGATCTGGAAAAAAATGCCAAAATTCATATGGAAATACAAGAGACTATGAATAGCTAAAGCATGAATATCTAATATGCATACATTTAATTAATTAAATATATAAATTTTGTCTACTTGTTTTAGTAATGGTTAATCTTTTTGTTCAAAGTTAATAACAGTTTTACATTTTTCTATCTGAATTTTTGTACATGTGTGGAGTAGTACAAACATCTGCTTTGGAGCCACTGATAGAAATTTTGGACCCCCATGTATCCAGACATGTCAATTCACTTTTTAGTATTCAATTAATGCACATGACTGTAATGATTCACTTTACTATCCCTAGGGTAATGTTGCCAACATCAAAAGAATCACCATAACTGTGCAATGTTATTCCAGTTGTGATTGTTCCATTCCTAACATCCAAAAACATGTATAATTGAAAATGTACTTACCCAAGAACCTTACCCAAGACTTGGACTTGTGACTGGTTAGTGGAGACACTTTTGGCAAGCTCTTTTCATCTCTGAGACTTAGTTTAGGATTTTTATAAACGACAAGATAAATCCTGTATCTTTATGTTCCTAAGGAAATAAAATGGATAGAATCCTATGACATGCCTACTGACAAGACAGCACAAAAGAGATGATCTGATATCATCATGTGTGATTCATCTTTGTTAAGATAGCCACATAAATGTAACTAGTTTTCTGCTGTAACCATTTATTGCTCTCTGTCAAAACAATGATGATTGATTACTGACTGGTAATGACTGATCCCCACAGAGTAGTCTTCTAGAAGGAAATTTGATGTTTCATACATGAAATAATTAACCATAAACATTATTAAACAATTTAGCAATTTTAACATAAAGATGTTTGTCCTATCATCTGTGACTTGATAAGTTTATATGAATGTAGCCAATAATATTAGTATTTTCATGCATATATATCATCCCAAGTGAAGTTTCTGTATATTATAGTTTATTGTGCAAATAGAAACCAAAACTTATCATTCAATATATTTTGACAATCTGTTAACTGTTTTTAAAATACTTAGCTTTCTTCATGTCCTATTACTATTTTAATTTATCCATTATATTTATTTGCTTATGTTATATCAAAACAATATTGTATATTCTCCTTTTGTGTTCCCTTTTTGCTCCTTTGATTATTCCTCTTGTACAGAGTTTCTTAAATTGATAAAATCTTGTTCATTGATTTTTGCTTTTTTTGACTGTGCTTCTAAGGCCATATACATAAAAGTATTGTCTATGCCTCAGTGTTTCCCCTATGGTTATTTACCATTGTCTCATAGTTTGCAGTATTCATTCGACAAAGGATTAATGTCCTGAATATATAAGCAACTCAGAAAACTCAACTACAACAACAAAACAATCCAGCTAAGAAACATCCAAAGGCTCTAAATTGACACTTCTCAAAAGAAGAAAAAAAAAAACACTGCCCCAAAAAAGTGCTCAATATTGCTAACATGGAAAAGTGTATAGTATTACTATCAGGGAACTGCAAATCTAAAATGCAATGAGGCATTGTTAGAATGGCTAGTATCAAAAAGACAAATAATAAATGATGCTGTGAGAATGTGGAGAAAGGGAACGCAAATAAACTGTTAGTGGAATGCAAATTCATTTATGCAGAATAGTAGGGAGTTTCATCAAAAAACTTAAAATGAACATACCATATAACCCAGTTATCCCACTTCTGGTTATACATTTAGAGGAAAGGAAAAAAACATCTGAAAAAGATACCTGCACTCACATATATTGCAGCACTACTCACAACATCCAAAATACAGAAGGAATGTAAGTAACCATCAGTAAATGAATGGATAAAGAAAACATGGTGTATACACACAATGCAATAATTTTCAACCAAAAAATAGAATGAAATTAGTCAGCAAAATGAATAGATTTGGATGTTATTATATTGAGTGAAGTAAGCTCTCCAAACAAATTTCTCATGTTCTCTCCCACACACAGAAGTTTTAAAAAAGTAGATCTGAACTTAACATAGTGATTAATAGAGGCTGGAATACAGGAGAGGTGGGGTTGAGGAAGGTTAGATAATGGCTATCAATCCACAATCAGATAAGAGTAACAAGTTTGAGTGCTCCACAGCATAGCAGGGAGACAATAGTTCTCAACGACATTTTATATTCTGTATAAAGCACTGTAAGCGAAGAGCTAGTAGGCTCCAAACACAAAGAAACATAAAGAAATGAAAGACTAGTTGCATTACTAGACTGCTGATACTCTGTATATACACTAGCAATTTTCCTTGTATTCCATAAAAATGTGAAAATATTGGATATTAATTAAAAATTTTAAATAAATGAAAAAATACTTCAAAAATAAAAAAAAATTATAACAATCACAATGAACTCTCAAATCAGGGTTCACCAGAAAGAACCAATGGGATGATAGATGATAGGTAGATAGAGGATGAGGATGATGATAGGTAGGTAGGTAGGCAGATACATACATACATACATATATACATACAGACATGGTGGGAGATGGTTCCCATTAGATAATTGGTGCACATGATCAAGGAAGTGGAGAAGTCTCATTAAAGTCATCTCCAAACAGAAAAATAAGGGAATCTGACTGAGCACTGAAGGGGAAACTTGTTGAAGTGAAATGGACACTATGAGAAACAGTGACTTGATCAGCTCTTGTCCTGATGGTTGATGTACAATGTAATACTTTATCCATTTTAGTATTTTTTTTTGTTCTAGTACCATTGGTTGAACTCTGTAATTAACACACAATTATTCTTAGGTGTTTAAATTTTAACTGAAAAGTGATCCCTGTTAGGAATTTGGAAAACATTATGCTGAGTGAAATAAGCCAATCTCAAAGGGACAAATACCATATGTTCTCCCTGATCAGTGACAACTAACTGAGCACCAAAAAGGAAACCTGTTAAAGTGAAATGAACACTATGAGAAACGGTGACTTGATCAGCCCTCACCCTGACTGTTGATGAGCAACATAATATGTTATCCCTCTTAGTATTTTTTTTTTGTTTGTTCTACTTAATACTTTTGGTTGAATACTGTAATCAATACACAATTCTTCTTAAGTGCTGAAACTTAACTGAAAAGTGATCACTGTTAAATATAGGAGTGGGAATAAGAGAGGGAAGAGATGTGCAATTCGGGACATGCTCAAGCTGACTTACCTCAAACGGTAGTGTTAGAAACATACCAGGTGATTCCAATTCAATCCCATCAAGGTGACATGTACCAATGCCATCACACTAGTCCCAGTGATCAATTTCTGGTCACAATTGATCATAATGATAGGACTAAGAACCAAAGGGATCATATAAACAAGAATAGTGCAAATACTAGCTGATAGAATAAAAAAGGGAGAGAACGATCCAACATGGTAAGTGAGATACACAGCAGACCCATAGAATGCCAAATGTCCTAAACAGCACTCTGGCCTCAGAATCAACCCTTAAGGCATGCGGATCCAGCTGAAAAGCCCATGAGAGTATTTCAGGCATGGAAAGCCAAGACACTCTGGGGAAAATAAAAAAAAAAAAAAACCTAAATGAAAGATCTCCACGAGTGAGATCCCAGTGGAAAGAATAGGTCATCAAAGAAGGAGGTACCTTTCTCTGAAGGGAGGACAGAACTTCCACTTTGACCATGGCCTTGTCTAAATATGATCAGAGTCGGTGAACTCAGGGGGCTTCCATAGCCTTGGCAGCTCATGACAAGAGCCTAGGGTGATTACTGATGCCATAAACAAGAGTGTCAATTTGTTAAGTCATCAACAGGAGTCACTGTGCACTTACTCCTCATGTAGGATCTCTGTCCTTAGTGTGCTGTACATTGTGATTTAATGCCTATACCTAGTCCTCAACAGTATTTTTTCACTTTATGTTTCTGTGTGGGAGCAAACTGTTGAAATCTTTACTTATGTATGCTAAACTGATCTTCTGTATATAAAGAGAATGGAAAATGAATCTTGATGTGAATGGAAGGGGAGAGGGAGTGGGAAATGGAGGGTTGCCGGTGGGAGGGACGTTATGGGGGGGGGAAGCCATTGTAATCCATAAGCTGTACTTTGGAAATTTATATTCATTAAATAAAAGTTAAAAAAAAATAAAAAAATAATAAAAAAAGAAAAATAAGGGAACCTGGTAATGTGGCTCAGTGTAGATCTAAAGATCTTAGAACAGCAGGAGCTGTTAGTGCAAGTCCTTGAGTCCAAAAGGCAGACAACTTGGAATTCTGTTACCCAGGAGCAGAAGAGGAAGGGTTTCCCAGCTCCAGAAACCGTCATGAATTTGCCATTCTTCTGTCTTGTGTTTTACATGGACCCTTAGCTGATTGGATGGTGCTCAACCACACTGAGGGTTAATCTCCCTTTCTCAATTCATTGATTCAAATGTCAATCTTTCCCACAAACACTCTCACAGACATACCCAGAAATGGTGCTTCCTCAACTATGTGGGTATCCTTTAATCAAGACAAATCAATACCTAAATCTAAGCATCACACATCTCAATTTTAATGGCTCACATTGAATTAACTAGCTAGTAAATAGTGGATAAGGAACTAGAACTATATAAACTCAACTGTTTTCTAAATGAAGGCAAAGCATCAAGCCTTTTTATTATAATGTAAATTTTTTATTTTTTATTTTTTATTTTTTGACAGGCAGAGTAGACAGTGAGAGAGAGAGACAGAGAGAAAGGTCTTCCTTTGCCATTGGTTCACCCTCCAATGGCCGCCACAGCCGGTGCACGGCGCTGATCCGAAGGCAGGAGCCAGGTACTTATCCTGGTCTCCCATGGGGTGCAGGGTCCAAGCACTTGGGCCATCCTCTACTGCCCTCCCAGGCCACAGCAGAGAGCTGGCATGGAAGAGGAGCAACTGGGACAGAATCTGGCGCCCCGACCGGGACTAGAACCCGGTGTGCCGGCGCCACAAGGCGGAGGATTAGCCTAGTGAGCCGCGGCACCGGGCTATTATAATGTAAATTTAAAATATGCTCTCTCAAAAACTAATAAAAAGGAAGGATAGATGGAAGGAGGGAGGGAAGAAGGGAGAATCACTATGTTCTTAGACTTGTATATACAAATCATATTGAATCTGTTAAAAATTAATTAAAATAACAATAAATGAAAAGATGGTATATGGTAAATACATGAAATCTGTTCCTTTTATAAACAAAAAGTTAAAAATAAAAATATAAAATAAAATAAAAGGATTTACAATGTAAACTTTAAAAAAAGTACAAAACAAGATTACTTTTTACCCTCATGTATCCTTAGTTGAACATTATTGTTTTGATGTACGCATTTATATGTTATGCTCTGAACAATAGCTCTTCATTTTCAGAAGAAAAGCAAAACAGTTTTGGAGAAAAGGCAAATACTGTTTTGTTTACAAAATTCAGAATATGCTAGGGCATACAAAAGCATTTTTAATGGAGTATATAACAGAGTATAGAATTTGCCATTTTAGTGATTTTTTAAAACAGAAAATTAAATGTCTGAAGTCATTCTGAATCCTCCCATAATCTCCATTGCATGTAACTATTTTGGAGTCTAATGTGAAAAATATACATAAATAAAAGCAAGTATTCCGTGTGATAAAAATAAAAGAACATATATATTATATTTCATAAAAAACTGCATTTTCTTATGTACTTCATGTCTTCAAATCTCAGCTGAACATATGTGCTATTGTTTTATGTTAGTTTTGTTCCTTAATATCTTTAACTGTTATAGCTTTTTTTACCAGTCATTTTTATTTCTTCAGTAATACTTTGCTGCTGCTGGCAATAATTTATATTATTCTGGGCTGTATTAGTTTAACTAATGGGGAGATCCCCTATGTGTGGGTTTAAAGTAGAAAACAACCCTATCAAATATGTCACAAAAGGATGGATACTTTATATCTGAGAAAATTTTAAAGTCTAAATGAAATAAAACTCGCAGACCTAGAATTATTGTACTAAACAGTCGATCATACAGTGAATTCTCTTTCCCATTTGCCGGGTACTGCTTCCTTCAATATCAGATTGACATATATGCACACCTGCCTTAGTGGGTCCTAGTATCAATGGGAGTGTAGCCAGGACCAGAAATAATTACATGATTATAATTGACCCAGCAATATTCTGAGAAAAATTCAGGTCATTGAATTATTTTTCATTTATTGCATGTCTTTGAAAAATTCATATAACAAGGTATGCTCCCTACCAGTGTAAATTTTTCTAATTATAAAATATTATTTGTTTATAGTTGAAATATTCAGAAAACATAGTAATGTCCCAATAAGAAAAGTTACTAGTACCATCACCACTAAAAGAAAACACAGGCTTTCATAGTAACTCTACCTCATAATTCCAAAAAATACTATTCCTCAAAAGGAATATCCTCTGCTCTCTCAGGGGCTTCCTCCATATTCACCTCTTAACATTCTCATATAAAGTTTTTCAAAAAAATCAAAGATTTTCCATACTAATTTATTTCTATTAGCACAATTTACTTGCTTGGAAAAAATATAACAAGATACTCTCCATGTACCAACATTCACCTAAAATTGATTGTGTAAGATCATACTATTTAAAATTAGGTCAAAACATGATGTTTACTTTTGGAATACAGCAGCTAGTTGTCTTTCCTAATTCTATTAGTGGAATTTTCTGTGGCTGATGTTTAAATGGAAATTCTATTTCTAGCTACGTAATAGATATTTTAAATATTTTATCTGAATAACAAACAGTTTTAATCTAAACTTTAGCCAATTTTTGACCACTACCTTCATGCAGACAAATGAAAGCTGTTTTACTGATGGAAAATCAATATTTCCCTTTCTTAATAGCCTAGCATCCTATTTTTAAGGCAGCCACCAGATAAAAAGCTTGTGTCTACCTCTACACAATACATAAAAATCATATACAGTCACACAAACTCACATCTTCTCTCTCCTTTTCTCTCATTCATACAAGTACATCATTCATGTACAATGAATGGCCTTTGAAAAGATACAATGATTTTAAAAAGTTTCTAATATTTGTTACATTCTAAAGCATCATTTAACAAAGTTTATTTTTTCATTTTACTTATTTGAAAGAAAGTGACAGCTATAGATATCGAGAAAGAGAGATCATCTAACTGATGGTTCATTCCCCCAAATGCCTCCAACAAGGCAGCTATTTTAGAATTTTAGTAGAGGGAAACAATGAATAAAAAAATTAAGATATACTAGGCTGAAAAATCATTTGACATTAAACATTAGTTATTAAACTATTAAATAGAAATGTTTGAGTCATAGCAATGACTGATATCTATGATGTGATTATTGGAACAGTGAAATAAAATTTAGTCATATTTTGAGTGGCCAAGCATTTAAGATGACTGCAACAAATCCAATGTTAGAAGAAAAATTGATGGTAATTCAAAAAGTTCATTTAAGAGGCAGGCATTGTGTGTCAATAAATAAAGTTACCTTTTAGGATACCTGTATCCCGTATGAGTACCAGTTTGAGTGCTGGCTACTCTACTTCCCATTCAACTTCCTGCTATTGCATTCTCAGAGGCAGCAGATAATGGCAGAAGAGTTTGGAGCCCTGACATCAATGTGGGAGACTCAGATGGAGTTCCAGAATTCTGGCTTTGGACTGACCCAGCCTTGGCTGTTGCAGGAATATGGAGGGTAAATCCACAGATGGGAGATCTTGATCTCAATCTCCCTCTCTCTCTCTCTCTCTCTCGCTCTGCACGCACTCCCTTTACACACACCCCCATCCCTTACCTCTCCCTCTACCTCTTCCTCCTCCTCTCTTTCAAATAGATGAACAGAAATAAGTTTTTAAAAATTACATACAAAGTTTTTATGGGAAAGTGGAATCAAAAGAGAAGGCTCTTACTGTAGCAGTCAAGACACTAATTATGATGTCTGCATCCCATATCCGAATGCTTGGGTTTGAGTCCTGGGTAAACTTCCAGTTCCAGCTTCCTGCTAATGCACATCATGTGAGGCAGCAGGTGATGACTCAAGTACTTGAGTCCCTGCTACCCATGTGGGAGACCTGGATGGAGTTCTGAGCTCTTGGCTTTGACCTGACTCAGCGTCGGCTGTTGCTAGCATTTAAGAGTCAACCAGCAGATATAAGAAATCTATCTAGCATCTATTTATGTATCTATCTAGCATCTCTATCGATCACTACCATTCAAATAAATAATTAAGCATCTATACATAGAGAATGTTTATTTTATTGGAAAACATTTATAAATCTATACATGATATTTTCATAATATGTATTTTCATGAGCTTTTTGAAGACTCCTGGTAAATGTATATTCTCCATATATTAAGTTTGGCATATATAATACACATTTTTCTTTGGTAATCTTTTGTGATAGCTTTGTAAAGAACTTGAATGGAGCTGAAGAATGTCCCCTCATATTCATTTTTACCAGAAACATCAGAGTGTGCTCTTTCCTTATTTGGACATACAGTGTTTTCACGTAATTAAGAGAGTGTCATGCTGGATTAAGTCTAGTGACTGGTGTCCATATAAGGAGGTCATGTAAAGACATGAAGGCTTATAGAATTGAGACTACTACGTGAAAAACTACTTAGAAATGGGAATAATACATGCAACATCCAAGAAATGATAAAGATTGCCAAACCCACCAGAGAAATACATGAAGCAGATTTTCTTCAGAAACTCCAGAAGGAACCAACACTGCCAGCATCTTGATTTTGGATTTCAATCCCCATAACTGTGAGCAGTTTTGGTATTTTGCTACAGCAGTCCTATGAAAATAAATCAGAACTTTAGCAATGTGTTGGAACACAGAGCTGTCTGTGCTGCACTGCCATAAATGCTGAGGAGTGTCGGGCCAGGGGAACATTAGAGCAGCACATTTCCTAAAGTAACAACTACAGAAATGTTGCAGTGACACCACACAACAATCTAACAACATGGATTGTGCACAAATACAATATTTTTATATGCTTAATGGTTACATAAAATATTTTTGACTTTTTTCTTAGTCCCAACCAAGTTTATATTACAATCTTTTTTAAAGATTTTTTTGCCACATAAATTTTCCCCAGGAATCCCTAGTATAGTATATTTCAGGACACATAGTTCTCAGGACTCCTAGTAGGAGTTAATATAATAGATAGTTACCAGTTACCAATTTACACTCGTATTTTTACCACATGGAAGATACATCTGGTAATCCTCAAATTCTTTGGATCCCTTTGTGGACTGGCAAATAGAGACTACAGCAGCCACAGGCTTCTACTTTAATACTCAGCTTCCCCTAGTCTAAAGCATGTGCTGACAATCACCTCAATGTTTAACATGGATGCCTCTTTGGGGGTCACGACTCAGTCCTTCCCTGGGGCCAGTACCTAAGTCAGCCACAGAAGTAAGACGTACGAAATCAATAGTTTAGTTGTTATATTAGGCAATTCAGTCTATGTTTCTCATGTCTGGTCTCCCCTGATGGCTCAGTGGATCCAAATCTCAGTATCTGAGCCATTCCTTCCATGAAGAGGGATATATATATTTGTATATATATTTCTACTTTTTGATGTTCAAAAGATTCTCCTTTTTACACTTCTAACACCTTTCAACTGTGTATTCTTCACTTTCTTCTTGTCTTTTTCATGGTATGTCTAATAACCCTTGAAACCTTCTCAGAGATGGTAACCATAGTATATTTTTCTAGATTTCTCTAGTATGTCATTCCTTTATATATGTGAGATATATAAATACATGTTTATATATAAATTATAGAGAGGATTATATTTAGGCAATTATTTAAGACTTCTAGATCTATACAAATATTACTAAAATATTTTAAATGTAAATAAAGTACTAAAATTATTAATATCTGGAGAAATTTAAAATAATTTGAAAACCATCTGATTCTTCCATATCCCCACTGCTCTTAGAATGTTGTAAAACTTGACACTACAGTATGCCTCACTAAACATATTTGTTACTTTGCTTATGTAACAGCATAGAAATATGTAGAACATTATAATTAGTACATATAGCAATCATGATAAGTATGGAATATATCTTAGTAGATACTGCTTTAGCAAAAGGTATTGCATTTTATGATACTAATTGTGGAGAGAAAATGAAGGAGAGCTTGGAAGAAGGGAGAGAAAGCATAAGAGAGGGCAAGATTAGTGCAAGTAGAAAGAAAAGGAGGAGGATAAAGAAAAGAAGTCAGTGATAAAACAGGAAGAGAAAGGGAAAGAATGGAGAACTGAAGATAATGGTGAAGAAAAATAAAGTATATACATTGAAACAGAACATCTTTATATATATATACATATGTCAGTGATTTTTATTTTTAAAAAATCTTAAGGTGAACAAATGTCATATATTTCATATATACTGATTTAGGGACATAGTGATACTTTCCAACCTACCTTCCTCCCACCTACACTCGTACTCTTCCTTCTCCTTCCTCTCTTATCCCCTCTATATGTACTGATTTGTAATTGCACATTTCTAACTCTGAATTTGGTGATGTCACATTTGTAGCTTTAAATTAGCCATGTAAGAGTACTCATAGCACAAACATTCGCAAAAAGAGTCTGATAGTAAATATTTTCCAGAATATTACTACCTAGGACTTAAGACTTTTAGAAGTTGTATTAAAATTCCAATTAGCTAATTGAAGAAATTGCATTGGAGAATAGATAGTAGACAGCATTGGAAAAAATATTGTAAAGCTGAGAAAATGTGAATGTTATAAAAGCCAAAATTATTAACTTAACAAATTTCCTATGGAACTGATTCTAAACTATAAAATGTGGTCACTGTTCCATTTAACAAAAAAGGTAGGATGCAAATAAAAGGGTAAATTCCTAGAACACAAACTCTAAAAACTCTAGGATTCTTTCCTTGTGTTTATTAAAACTCTAAGTAGAACTATATTACACTCTCTCTCTTTTTTAAGATTTATTATTTATTTGAGAAGCAGAATTATAGACAGAGGGAGAGACATGAAGAGAGGTCTTCCATCTGCAGGTTCACTCCCCAAATGGCTGCAATGGCAGGAGCTGGGTGGATCTGGAGCCAGGAGCCAGGAGCCAAGAGCTTCTTCTGGGTCTCCCTTGTGGGTGCAGGGCCCAAGCACTTGGGTCATCTTCTGCTGTTTTCCCAGGCCATCAGCAGGGAACTGAATTGGAAGTGGAGCAGCCAGGACTCAACATGTGACCGTATGGATGCTGGTGCTGTAGGCAAATTTTGAACCTACTACACTACAGCACCAGCCCTGATATTACTTTCTCATTATAGATTTTTAATCACTTGCATTTTCCTTGCATATGACACTTTCATTGGCTTTTATCTATGCATCTGCTCATTCTTTTCTGAAAACATGAAATGTCTTTTTGAAAATGAACTTTTACTAGTGAGTATTAAGTAATTGGTTTCCTTTGCCAAACTTTTAAACAGAAAAAATACAAACCTAGAGCATAGTGAATTTATTGAGGCAATTGAAACTGCATGTATTAGTATTAGTATTGTTAGGTGACTCTGGAGATACAATCTCCAGCCTTGAGATATTTGTATGGTGAACCGGTTTCCTTATCAGCAAGGTTAATGAAGATGTCAGCAAATGGGATGAGGCTTTGCAAATGGAATTGCTTTCAGCTCCAATCCAAGTTGGAAAAGGTGTTAATCAGTATATTAATCTTATCAGCAGCTGAGGAGGAGGATTTGGAGGTGGCCATTTTCTGTTCTTCATTAAAAAATCGTGAAAAGATAATTATTCTCAAAGTTTGTATTATCTATACTATGAAAGAAACCTCTCTTCTCCTAAAGATTTTTGCAAAGTAAAGACAAAAATGGCTAGATGAGTTTCAGAAAGCATTTGGAAACAAAACTTTAGACTGGAATTCATTTAAAACATGGTGAAAAGTTTTTGGTATATTTAAGCAATTATGAAGGAATTTATGTCAGCTAAACATAATCACAGGAACAGAAACATCATAGGATGGAAAAATAAGTATTTAATTGAATAGGACAAACCTCACTATTAAAAATAATATGCATGCTTGAAGATGTCAAAGTATAAAATAGGAGTACAGTTTACAGTTACTAAGTGTACTACCCTGAGTATAGTCTGGATATAAAAAGAGATTAAGGGGGCCAGTGCTGTGGCACAATGTGTTAAGCCACATATGGGTGTCAGTTCAAGACATGATTGCTCTACTTTTGATCCAGATCCCTGCTAATATGCCTAGGAAAGCAGTGGAGGATGTCCAATCCTTAGGCCCTGCACCCATGTGGGAGGCCCAGAGGAAGCTCCTGGCTCTTGGCTTCGGGCTGGCTCAGCCCTGGTTATTGCAGCCTTCCTGGGGGGTGAACCAACAGATGGAAGATCTCTTGCTCTCTACAATTCTGCTTTTCAAATAAATAAGTAAATATTTATAAAAGTGATTAAAAACCCATACCTCACAGTATATTCATAAATAAATTCCAGTAGGATTTCAGTCCAACGTATTAAGGATAGAACTATAATGGTTCTAGAAAATATAATAGAATATCTTTGTGATATGTGGTTGTCAAGGATTTTTTAATAAGATGCAGAGTCATCCAATCATAAATGCAACAATTGAGAATTTGGATGATAAGGAGATCCATGTAATATTTAAGAACTAAGACTAAAATGTGTTATACTTACCAATAAATCAACAATAAAATGTGGAGTATCTAATTTTTTTTAAAAAAATTGATCAAATTATATAAACACATACTTCATAGAGACAGCATTCCAATTTCCAATTGGCACATAAAAGACACCCAGTATGATCCATTATTACTGAAATGTAAATATAACCAAAGTGAGATACTATTGTACAAAAACCAGCATGCAGATTAGAATGTCACACTATAAGAAGGTCAAGGACATTGAGTAAATATTGGATCCTCATGCATCACTATCATATGCATTTTATATACACTGGTGAGGGACATTTAAATTGGCACAATTACTTTGGAAAAGTTCTATACTTATTAAACTGTATGATATCAATACCCTATATGCTGTTTTTCTACTCACAAGCACAAACTTAGAAATGTGTTCAAATATCCTCAAAAGATATCTACAAAAATGTTCTTAGCAACATTATTGATATTAGGACTCAACTGGAAATACTGAAAATGACCAAAATATTATAATCAATGTTTTAAAAAAGTTGGCATATGCATGTAATCAAGGATATAAAACAAAATAAAATAATTGATATTGATAAATACAACAAAATGATTTTTCACAAAAGCCAGGCATAAAAGATACTTTCACAGCTCTCTCCTAATTCCACATAAATTATGTCAAGAAGAGGAAAACTATTCTATTATGATGATACAGTATAGTGGTTATTTCTAAAGGAGGAAGCTTGAAACAGGATCTGGGAGGTAGACTGGGTGACTGCTGGTAATATTCTGTGTTCTGATCTTTGGGATATCTTATTAACACGATCACACTGTAAAATTTCTTTGATGTACACAGTTATATTTATGCATGGTATATATGTAACATTTTAATATAAAATTGCCAATTAAATTTTAAAAAGAAATTATAGAAAGGCTGCAAGATAACTATAATGAAGAGATCTGAAGAGAAGGTTTAGGACAATATAAGGATATTGATATTTATATCTGGAAAATGAATGATAGAATAATACAATGCTAAATGATCATTTAAAACAAGTTACAGTACTTTAGTTTTCTGCAAAATGCTTTGAAACAACAAGGCTGCAATATTTCTTTATTTCATGGGCTAAATCTCGAAGTAATCTAAATAAATGTGAGCAAACAGGAGAAATTTTTATCATTTCAAATAAAAGAAATCTTGAGGCAATGAGTTTCCAGTGCCAATTCATTGGTCCAATAACATTATGATAACTTAATTTTAATTCATGTTTTATATCCACATTTTGCTTTATGGCTAGAAGAATAAAAACACCTTGAAGAGCTTAAAACAATCCAAATTCACATCCCAGTGTTGAAATCACATATTCTCCTTTGGGGTTCACATTTTTAAGGAGAGAGTGAATAAAATCCAAGCTCTCTTAACAAAATGAAAGTTTGCAATGAAAACAAAGGAGCCCATATCCCATTCACAGATAGGTTGATATCTTGACTATACTGTAAAATTCCTCAGTTAACAGGACATGGGATCTGAGTACCATCTTTCTAGTTAAATTCGTTTCCTTCTGGGGCACTTCATCTCTCTGCTAGTGATTAATTCTTATTCATAAGTTCAATTAGACAATCAAAATTAGCAGCCGCTACATGCATTTTCTTACTTAATTTTCACAAAAACTCTATGAAGTAAGATAGATAAGACTTTAAGCAACTCAGTACCTTACTCAAGGTCACTCAAAAACATGGCTAATTAAAAATTTCTTATACTGTCAAGAATGTAACTCTTTTTTAAAATATATAAGCTTACTTTTTTAATATTTTATTTATTTATTTGAGAGGTAGAGTTACAGAGAGAAGGAAAGACAGAGAGAAAGGTCTTCCATCTGCTGGTTTGCTCCCCCAACAAGGCTGCAATGGTTGAGCCGATATGAAGCCAGGAGTCAGGACTTCTTCTGGGTCTCCCACGCAAGTGCAGGAGCCCAAGTCCTTGGGCCATCTTCCACCGCTTTCCCAGGCCATAGCAGAGATCTGGATAGGAAGTGGAGCAGCTGAGAAAGGAACTGGCATACATATGGGATGCTGAC